ATTTGATATATAACTTCAAAGGTAATAATTTATTAGAAATCTGTATCAAATTACAGATTGCTTCTTCATGTGTGTCTATAACAATATAAAATTATTTGAAAGATTTCAGAAAACTAAGAAAAATGGATATATTTTATTGGTGTAAAAGATTCACCCTATTAGTTAACAGCTTTTTTAAGTAATTTTTATTAAATAAAATATAATTTTAAAGAAATTCTGGACAACTCGTCGTCTCAGAAAGTACTTTGATTAATAGAGAAATGGCACGATGGACACTGAAGTATCGTATCTTCACCAATCAGACACATAATGATATTCATGTAACATCAGACCTCCAATTGTTCCCATATCACCTATGCCTTTTAATAATCATCACTAAATAATTCTATAAGTCCAATGTTGGTAACTGTATGTCTATAAAACACGTAGATTCTAATAATATACAATTAGAAATGTATAATTACTTTTTGTATACTTTATAGCAATTTATAAATTATTGTAAATCTCGCAGACTAAATCATACGTATGTCGTTCATTGCCCAAGCTAGTATCAAACGTATAAAAGTCCTTCATGCAAATTCTCGGCTACGTATGAAACCAAACCGTGGTTTTATTTCATCTCGCCATTTGCTAGAAATTTGATATAACTTCAACGGTAATAATTTATTGGAAATCTGGACAGTTTGTCTTCCTGACGATATCAAATCACAGATTGCTTCTTCATGTGTCTATAACAATATAAAATTATTTGAAAGATTTCAGAAAACAAAGAAAAATGGATATATTTTATTGGTGTAAAAGATTCACCTTATAATTAAATAAAATATAATTTTAAAGAAATTCTGGACAACTCGTCGTCTTAGAAAATACTTTGATTAATAGAGAAATGGCACGATGGACACTGAAGTATCGTATATTCACCAATCAGACACATAATGATATTCATGTGACATCAGGCCTCCAATTGTTTCCACATAACCTATGCCTTTTAATAATCATCACTAAATATCTGGATTTGATATAACTTCAAAGATAATAATTTATTGGAAATCTGGACAGTTTGTCCTCCTGACGATATCAAATCACAAATTGCTTCTTCATGTGTCTATAATATGAACCAACAGGAAGTCTGTATATCGTTCTTACTATCTTCGTGAATCATATATAATAATAATTGGATAATTTGCGGAAGGAATGAAATATAATATTACTTGTGTTTATTACATATTCGTAAATTCCATTTGAGAAAAATCTTCTTGATATGCAATAGCTCCTGGCAGACTTGGGAAATTATTCATTGCAGATAAACAGGTATCTAAACCGGTAATTATACAGTTTAGCCGCTCACCTCAAAAATCGATGAACATAGGCTCATTCGACGCGTTTTTGCTTAAAACGAAAGAATCTGGCAGAAATAAGCGTCGCTCTGCCCCGCGAACCGAGTTATTAAGCGTTAAAGTTGACGATTTCAGATTAGGAAATCTGTCATACCGACATTGCGACTGAAATATGCTCTGTGGTCATATGCGCGTGCTCTGTGATCACATGCGCATGCGTTGTACGTACTTTTCGGTAAGAGTGCACGAAATTTAAAGTCATAACCCATGTAGACAGTGGGGTGTGTGAATAGTAATGCTTGGGTTCGGGCAGCTACGCCGCCCTCACGAAATAAAAAAATATCATATCCTACCCGCTTGGGGCCTAACCGCGTGGAAGTTACAGCTGAGACAG